CCAGGGAACAGGGGAAGCCCTCTCCTGTGAGTCATGGAAAGCCACATTTGCAGACAGTTTTGTGTGGGGTTTGGGCAGGATGTCCAAACAAGGGTGCTGCCCTTATGACTCATGTCCGTGATTCACATCTGGTTCCTTAATTCCACTACATGGCTTTGCTAACTTTGACTGATGATTCGGATTGTAAGGAATGTAGCAAAGTTGTTTCACAGTTTCTAGAAAGCTCTGAAAAATATGACTGGCAGTGACTTCTTCCTTCATTGCTAGTAGCTGAGATTTTTGAGGATGCTTTTCTTCCTTTCATCGTGTACCTAATTTCCTTCAGTCTTTGGGGTCAGTTTTTTTGCTTCTTTGAGGCGTATTCCTCCCATCTCTTCTGTTTTTAATCTCTCCCCTATTTTCACCTCTCTCTCTGTTTCTTTATCTCCTACAAACTGGATCAAGTCTCTTCTTCTTTTAAAATGTTTCGAGGCTGAGGCTGTGGCACCCCAGCCTGGGGCAGCAGAGTGAGACTCTGTCTCAAAAAAAAAAAAAAAAGTGTGTTTTTACAAGGTGTTATTTGTAAAATGGGGAGTCATCCAAATGTTCTGTCTCTCAGTTAATTCCTGGGTGTCCTATAGTCAGTCTTTTTATCACCACTAGACTTTCCATGTGCCCAGTCTAGGGGACCCTTTTGGGCTCACTCAGCTTCCCTGTGGCATTGGGCAGTGCTGCTTCTCCGTTCCTCTAGGAATGTTTGTCTCCTTAGGCGTCCATGCCGTCACCCTCTGTGGACTTTATTCTTGCCTTGGGGCTTTGCACAGTGTATTTGATGTGTATGAGCCCAGGGCTACAGTCCCACAGCTTTCGTTCAAGTTCCAGCTCTGCCACTTGCTTGTTCCTGGTCACCTGTTGACTTGCCAACCTTTCTAAGTGCGTATGTTTCTTCTGCAAAATGATGTGTCTTAGTTCATTTTCTGTTGCTTATAACAGGATACTTGAACTGTATAAAGTAAAGGAAGTTATTTTATGGAGTCAGGGGGACTGGAAGTCCAATGCTGAGAGCTGCATCTGCTGATGGCCTTCTTGCTGGTGGGGGCCTTTTGCAGAGTTCTGAGGCCATTCAAGGTGGCACTTGGTGAGGGGAGAATTGTTGAGTGTGCTAGTTCAAGTCTCTTCTTTTCTTACAAAGCCACTAGTCCCATTCCCATGATAGCCCATTCATCCATTAATCTGTAATAGTTATCCATTCATGAGGGTCCCTCATGACACAATCACCTGTTGTTACAGGACCCTCCTTTCAAACTACCAGATTGGGGATTAAGTGTCAGCGTGAGGTTCAGAGGAGACAAATACTCTAACCATAGTATGGGGGTTTATTAGAAGATCCATGCGAAGCCCTGAGCACAGTGCCTGTCATTGCTGCACTCAGCGGATAGCTGCCATTCTGACTGTTGAATACCTTCCCTTCCATCTTCTCTGGCTCTTCTTCCCACCACTGTGTCAGTAACTCACAGTCCCACTTCTCTTCTGGTCTACCTACTATGGGGAAATGTAAAACCAGCCATCTTGTTCATCCAAAAATCAGAATCATCTTCAATAGTTCCTTCCTACCCTGGCTCTTGGTTCTGTTTGTCTTTCCTTTCCGTTGCTGTTGCTTCTGCCTTGATCAGATTTTCTTTACCTTCTTTTATGTTAGTTTGAAACAGTCTTCCTGTGCCCACTCCACAGTCCATTCCGTCGTCTCCACTGCTGCCAGCCTTGTCATTACTGCACAGTTGACACTGTTCTTCCCTGTGCCAGTCTCAGCTAATGGCTTCTTGTTGCCCAGAGGATGAAGTCTGCTCTCTGAAGCTTGGCTTTTGTGCCTCACCTCTCCCCTCAGTGTGACCTTCTCCCGGGTTGGTTTTTCTATTCAATTTCACTGCTTGTTCCACTTTGGTGACCCTTTATCCTAAGTATCAGATTGTTTTGTTCCTCCATGCTATAAAATACTCTTTGGAAATTCTCTGCTTTCCTAAACCAGCCTGGCATATTCACAGGCAACCTTCAAGATGTTTTTTTAGAATTTTCTCCCTATTTCTTCTCTTTCTACCCTTCCGAACTCAGTTCCCCTTTATGTGCTCACATGGTACAACCTTGGCATACGTACTCTGCTGCATTTGATTAGTTTATATGCCTATTACTTTCTACTTGACTTTTATTAAATACTTTGCCCAGGGAAGGTATTCAAAAATGGTTGTCAAATGAATAAATAGGGAAAATTCAAGGGCAGCCAGACCTAAGTTCTCACATTAAGAGAGATTGTGGTATTTATTCATTTATACATTGATGTTGATGGTGTCTTTGTAATTCTTTAAATAAAAACTGCAGTTTGATTTCTCTCAGATCTTTCCTAACCTGTGCTAATTTTGGAAGATTATCTTCTCAAATCTTATCCATTTCTCTCCTAGCCTATAGCTCTTCTAAATTATGTTAAATCATATGAAATTGCCAATATTCAACCATTCAAGGACTGAAGCTCCGTAACTAATGGATGGGGATTTATTGGTCTTTATTCATCTGTGCTCCTTAGTCAAGTGGAAGTGGAGACTAGCCTGGCTGTGGGTAGATTTCCCACTTGGTGGAATGAACAGCTCTGGCTTAGTTTCATGACCTTTCCGTGACACAGTGGGAGGGAGGTCCTCCCTCACTCTTTTCCTAGTTGGCCCTTTGTTTGGCGTAGGAACTGGGAAATGAAAATTGCTACTGGTAAACAATCTGGGGCTGAGATATAACCTCAAGAACACCTATTCTTCTCAGAGCTTGTGTCCTTTTGGCCTTATGATCATAACACTTGATCTCGGGAGTTCAGGTCAAGGGGAAAATCGTGAGGTCAAATTTTCCAGTAAGTTTTCTCATCACCAACTTTGTTCATAGGAGAGAGCAATGTGTCTTCCCTTCTTAATAAGAGGAAGGACTTCTGTTAAAGAAAAAATTCTGACAGCAAGGAAAACTTTATTCAAAAATCTTGCAGTACAGGTCATGACTCACAATAGGGGAGAGAGATCAGGTTCAATTCCGAATACAGGGAAGACAACTGGTGATTTACAGTGAATAAGTAGAGTGAGGAGGTCAGTGGATGGACAATTTCTAAGAGGAGACATCAAGTTAGGGAATTTCTCACTAAGTTGACTTAACAGGATTCTTGCTGAAAATAGGCTAAGATGATCAGATGTCAAGGATTGGGAGGGGTTGAGGAAATTGATCAGATATGGAGAGTACTTCAGTTCATTAGAGCAGCTATAACAGATTACTATAGACTAGGTGACTTATAAACATCAGAAATTTATTTCTCACATTCTGGAGGCTGCAAGGCCAAGATCAAGGTACCAGCACAGTCAAATTCTTTCAGCTTCTCTCCTGGGTTGTAGACTACTGCCTTCCTGCATCCTCACAGAGCAGAGAGCAGAGAGAAACAAGTGCTCTTGGGACTCTTACAAGGAGTCTAAATTCATCATGAGGGCTCTGCTCTCATGACTACGTCTAATCCTAATTATCTCCCAAAGGTCCTATCTCCTGATGCATCACATTGTGGTGCAGGGTTTCAACACAGGATTTCAAGGGGCCTAAGGACAAGGCCTAATTGAGAAGAGGGCTCAGAGGAGCCTGTTCAAAGTTTTGTCAAGAAGAGTCTTTGTTGCTGTCTCCTGCCTTTTTTTTTTTTTTTTTTT